AATCCAGGCTGCCTGAGGAGACAAAATTAAAGGGCAAATAGAATTTACTCACTTCATTGCATCCTGCTGCCAACACCCTCCACCCTCAACAAAATTTTACAACGGTGCAAACTTCTCAAAATAATAGCTCAGACTTTCGTCAGCAATGAAGGAATAATGCTCACTGTTTATGATACTTGTGGCAGTGTACAAACATTTAATTGTATTTGCTTTAAAATTTACAGGCTTTGAGAATCAGAAGTAGGATCTGAAGCCTGTGGGAGCAGGTCTTTTCAAATGATCTGATTGAGGAATCTAGTTTAGGTGAGCAGTTTAAAGCAGGAGGTGGATATTTAATATAATGTAAGCTTAAGTGCAAAAATCAGAACAAGGAAAGGGAAAGAAAGAATAGATTAAGAGAGATGGAAAAGTAAATTTAAAAAGAACATTTCCAATAGAAAATAAACTCATAAGGAATGAGACTCCATACTTGCAAAAGTAAAACCTCAGCATCAGAGCAGTTAGAATTATTGAATCCGTACCATGCAGAAAGAGGCCATTCGGCCCATCGAGTCTGCACTGATCCTCTGAAGATCATCCCACCCAGACCCCTTTCCCCCAACTCTACTCACGTAACCCTGCATTTACCATGGCTAATCCACCTAGCCTAGATGTCCCTGGACCCTATGCGGCAATTTACTGTTACCAATCCACCTACTCTGCCCATCTTTGGACTGTGGGAGGAAACTGGAGCACACAAAGGAAATCCATGCAGACATGGGGTGAATGTGCAAACTCGACATAGACAGTCACCCAAGGCTGGAATCAAACCTGGGTCCCTGATGCTGTGATTTTAAAAAATGGAATCAGTTAGCACACAGTCAATTTCACTCCCATGTTATTTTTCATGTAATCTGTCACTTTCACTGCGTGACACATAGAACATTTGACTGCGAGGAATTCATTTAGTTCTATAATTTGACTCTTTTTAAATATTAAATATGTATTTATCTTAGTATCCTAAGTCAATGTCAGACTTTGCAGATTTTAGGAAATAGGGCTGTGCGAGTTAGAGAAGGATGCTATGCAATGACTAACAACCCTATATCTTGCCAATGGGCTGAGAAGCTAGCAGATTGGTTGTCTTCCAGGAACCTGGTTGAGGCTACTTCAATGCTCAATTAAAGGACGCTTCCTGCATATGTTGGAGGGACTGGCCTGTCACTTTTAGGGAAAACCATTTCAGTGAAAACTACTCAACCTCCAGCCAGTAGGCTCTTCAGGGTAGTTCTTGGTGCCTCTATTTTTAGCCAACAGAGGAGCTCCCTGTGGCAATGCTCCTCAGTGGTTCCCTCCCACCACAACAAGCATCGAGTCCGCCTGACTGGCAATTAGGAACACAGATCCCTTGCTGTGTCCAGAAGTGGACAGAAACCTCTAATGTTGATATGTGTGCTCTGAATTGATAGATGAGGTGGGGAAAATCACTTTCTTTTTCTTTATTCTTTCATGGGATATGGACATTGCTGTTGAGGCCAGCATTTGTTGCCCATTCCGAATTGGCCATGAACTGAATAGCTTGCTGGGCCATTTGAAAGGGCACTTTTGTCAACCACATTGCTCCAGACCCACAACAATGTTCAGATCAGACTAGGTCAGGATAGATTTCCTATCCAGGGTGGATAGCAGAGATCTGGGTGTTCAGGTCCATTGTACCCTGAGATGGCAACACAGGTCGATAGAGTGGTCAAGAAGGCATACGGCATGGTTTCATTTATCGGACGGGGTATTGAGTACAAGAGCTGGCAGGTCATGTTGCAGTTGTATAGGACTTTGGTTTGACCACATTTGGAATACTGCGTACAGTTCTGGTCGCCACATTACCAAAAGGATGTGGATGCTTTGGAGAGGGTGCAGAGGAGGTTCGCCAGGATGTTGCCTGGTATGGAGGGTGCTAGCTATGAGGAGCGGTTGAGTAGATTAGGATTATTTACATTAGAAAGACGGAGGTTGAGGGGGGACCTGATTGAGGTCTACAAAATCATGAGGGGTATAGACAGGGTGGATAGCAAGAAGCTTTTTCCCATAGTGGGGAACTCAATTACTAGGGGTCACGATTTCAAGGTCAGAGGGGAAAAGTTTAAGGGAGATATGCGTGGAAAGTTCTTTACGCAGAGGGTGGTGGGTGCCTGGAATGCATTGCCAGCAGAGGTGGTAGAGGCAGGCACGATAGCATCATTTAAGATTTATCTAGACAGATACATAAATGGGCAGGGAGCAGAGGGATACAGATCCTTGGAAAATAGGCGACAGGTTTAGATAGAGGATCTGGATCGGCACAGGCTTGGAGGGCCAAAGGGCCTGTTCCTGTGCTGTAATTTTCTTTGTTCCCTAAAGGACATAAAAGAACCAGATGGATCTTTGCAACAATTGATGATGGTTTAATTTGATTTGATTTATTATTGTCATATGTACCAAGATACAGTGAAAAGTATTGTTTTGCACGCTAACCAGGCGAATCATACCGTACATTAGTACATCAAGGTAATAGAAAAGAATACAGAATATGGTGTTACAGCTATGGAGAAAATGCAGAGAAAGATCAACTGTAATATTATCAGAGGTCCATTCATAAGTATAATAACAGCAGAGAAGAAGCTGTTCTTAAATCTGCTGGTACATGTTTTCAAACTTTTGTATGTTCTGCCTGATAGAAGAGGGTGGAATAGAGTGTTACCGGGGTGCGAGGGTCCCTATTAGAGTAGCTTTCAATCCCAGATTTTATTTAGTAGCATTTAAATTTCACCAAACGTTTTGATTTAAACTCAGTATGTTAGTCTAGACCTTTGGGGGCTTTTGTGGTGGCATTGTAGAGCCTCTACCTCTGAGCCAGAAGGTATGGGTTGAAGTCCCGCCTGCTTTGGAGGTGTGTAATAACATCTCTGAAGAGGTTGATTAGAAAATATCTAGATTTGGATTACTAGTCCAGTAACATTGTAACTGCTTCACTCCCCACCACACCAAAGCATCTTCAGGAAAACATCTATTCTCTTTTCGTAAGTTTTTGAATGAACATGTCGGATAGGATGATAATATCATCAGGATTGGCCATCTGGAAGGTGTTGGAGAGGTTACGGAAGAGGTTTACTGGAAAGGCTCGAAGGATGATGGATTGATGAATCTAGAGTTACTTGCTTTAAAATGGGGAAGTCCAAGAGGGAGGTTTGATAGTGGCGTGAGGTAGAGGAAGCGGAGAGAAACTGTTGCCAGTGGCAGACCAGAAGGTACAGAGGTAACATGAGGAAAATCATATTTTACACAATCGTTAGGACTTGGAATATAATACTTAAGGTGTGAATACAAATTCAGTAATGGTTTTCAAAGGGGAGTTGTATATCTGAAGAAAAATCTTGCTAGGATATGGGAAAAGATTAGATCAGTGGGACCAACTGGGTTATTGTACAGAAGAACTGGCACAGATTGGATGGGCTGAATGGTTTCCTTCTAGGATTTGTACTATTATTTTATTCATTTTAAATGAATTTTCTTTTTGAAACTATACTAGGAAGCCACAAGCATACCTTTTAATGGTTGCCTCATGATATCCCCAAAATGTTGTCATTATGATTTTTTTAATATATTTACGAATTAACTTGGTCAGAAATACCTCTGGAGCAGGTGGGACTTGAACCCTGGTCTGGCTTGGAGGTAGGGACACTACCACTGCACCACAAGTACCCTCCCCAGATTTTCTACAATGATTAAACAAAGAGATGTTCCAGACATGCGCTGAAATAACATCAACTCCATTAACCAGTCATTGCCCACTCCTTCAAACCTCTGGGATTGTACTCTGAAGTATTTGTGGTGATAGAGTGTTGCTGTTCATGTCTATTATTGCACACAAAGAACCATATCAATATTCTGTGTACCCAGAGGAAATTATGGGTAAATCAGCAGAGTCCTTTTAATATTAAATATAATTATCTTGCCAATGAAACTTTTTGAGCACGATACCTCAGAAAATAACACAGCATGGTGATCTCAGCTTCCAGGAAACACCAAGCATGTCTCAATCACTCCTTTGACGTTTTGAACATCAAACAATATTAAGGATTTGGCTCTGTTTCTAAATGCTTTTCCAGAAAGAATCATCCTGGAGTATGAAAAGCATAGGGAAGCTTGATGTTGTTTTAAATGTAGTATCATTTAAGATAATTGCACAACGTTTTCTACAGTCCACATTTCTTAATGATACTTTGAAACACTTCAGCAAGTGAGCAGAATAACAAAAAGTGCTCTATCTGCAAATTCTCTAGAGTTAATTCCGTCCTTCCTTTTGTGGAAAAGGAAAGATTTGTGAAGATTATATTTCTGACCCTACCTTGAATATATTTTTCCCAATGGATGCTTGATCTTCCATTGCAAAAGTCCTGAGGAAAGAATGAAAGCAAAACTTGAAATTGGACCTTGAAATAAAAACGGAAAGTGGTGTAAAAGCTCAGCAGCTCTGGTAATGTCAGTGGTGAGAGCAGTAGAGTTAGCTCTTCATTTCCAATATGACTTGTTCCATTCTGAAGAAGAGTCATACTGGGCTTAGTGTTAACTTTGTTTCTCCCTCCACACTGGCAGACATATCGACACGAACACAAGCCACAGGTAATTCTGTCTTTCACCATAGGGAATTAAGGACTGTTGCTTTAAGGCTATAAGTATCACTGCAAAATTCCTTCAAAAAGTTTCACTTAATTTAATGAACCATGGCTGAGTTTTCGGTAGTGTGCTATGTTCATAATTATTGCTAAGCACCCCTAAAGGCCCTGTAAACTGCTGTTGTGTGTGTGTGAAATGTCCAATTTCTTCATTATGATTGTAATGAGTTCTAATCTTTTTAAAGTTTGTTTGATAGTTTAGCTTGTACTTTTATTGTGTGTATGTCCCATTCATTCATTCTGCTGTCAATTCAATTTTAATTAAAGCAAAGATTTGGTGTACTTTATTCCCTGGCTTGCTATTATTAGGGAACGGGAATCTGATTGGCTGCTTATCCCAGTTAATGGACGTGACTGTTGGCAACTGCCAGCAGATTCGCCTTGACCTGGCAAGAGACTTAAAAACTGGCATCATGAAAAGGAAAACCCGTACTTGAGAAGGAAAGAAAATGGCTTGTTATTTGGAGTGTAAATTGATGCACGAGTCAGAGTATCTCCACCCTCTGTCACCTCAGAATGAGACTTGGTCATCTTTCTTCTTGCATCCTATAATTATACATCTCCCCTCCGCTACCCCAGAGATGGGTCACAGTTTGAGGAGCAATTGCATTATAATTGCACCAAATAATAGTTAGATTTTGTGGAACACCACTACATTTTTGCAGCAGAACTGTACTTCCATATATTAATGTGGTATGTTATTCGTATGAAACAGTGCACCATCTGCCTCACAGGAGCAATACTATGCAAGACCTTACATGTGGTAACAATGCCCTGGATTTCTCAATTTGAAGCAAGGATCTTCAAAGAACCTGCTAAATAAAATCACTGCCTTCCAGGGCATTCCCTCTGAGCACAGGAAATCTAACAAATAAAAGTTTCTGGAAATATATTTAACTTCTTGGACACAAAAGGAAGAAAATGTTCTTCTCTTTCTTGATGAAGTGACCTCTTTGATTATGAATTTTAAAGTTTCTGTGGATGACTTGCGCCTCCTTTCTTCCTCTTCTAGCTGTCGTGGAGGCATGCCTGCTCTACATGCTGAAGCGCCGAGCTGCTGGCTTTCTGCGGAGTGACAAAGTAGCTGCACTTTTTACAAAAATTGGCAAAGTCTATCAAGTAGCTGGAGATTTGTGCAAGAAAGTTCAAGAATTACTGCAACAGGTGGATAGCAAGTAAGTGGATCTGTATGATTAAGTGTGAACACAGACAAAGACCCATCTCAGTTTGGATTCCAAGGAGACATTGCAGGAAAGGCATTTTGCCGAAGTCGAATTTAGTTTCACTAATTGAATCATCCAAATATGATAATATCAGGTGGGGGAAATGGGAAGATAGTATGTTACAGTGGTTTACATCACTATGGTGGCGTGAATAAAGACCATCTGAGAGTATCACCGATTATCCTTGTGAGAGGTCAGTGTTGTAAAGAATGTTGCCACTGGAATGAATATTGACCACAGTCACTTTGACTTTAACCTTGGTTTCATCCATCTTACTGCAGTATTCCCACACAATATGTGCAGAAATAATATCCCCTCACTTTATTCATTTAATTTAATAACTAAAAAATTATGATGCCAATTTTGCAAATAAAAATATATTTAAATCAGTTGAAGCTTTAAATATTAAATTTTAGATTGTTGTTCTGGAATTTTTTGTTTAATTTTCTGTGATATCTGTCAGTATCTTGCACAATTCTCTCAATATAGCTGGATGGAATAAGTATTTTTAATATTTCCTCTTATCAAAGCATTGTGTCATGGGAAAGTATAACACTTATTAATCCATACTAATCTTTATGTGTAATCATGGACAGTGACCGTTGTCTGTCCATCACTCCCCACAGAGAACATCACAGCAAGACTTGTCCAACTTCGTATCTGAAGTCCAAGCAGACCATGTCCAGCAGGAAGCACTGGGTAGCAATCATGAATAGAACATAGGAACAGGAGTAGATCATTCAGCCCCTCAATGTGTTTATTAACTCCGTCCACCTGTTTTGGCTTCATATCCTTTTATACACTTGTCTAGCAAAAACCTATTAATAGCACATTGAAAATTATTAATTGAGCCAGCACTTATTGAATTTTAGGGAGCGAGTTCCATGTCTCTATCACCCCTTGCATGAAGTTCTTCCTAATCTTTCTCTGGAAGACCTTAGCTCTAATTTGAAGGTTGTGCTCCCTTATCCTATAGGCTCCCACACAAATGGGAAAATTCCCTTTTATCAGTTCTTTGGAAAATCCTAAGATCTCAATTAAGTTATGCCTTTGCTTTTTGCATTCCAAAGATTTCAAGCTTAACTTTTGTGCTGTCTAATAGCTCTGATAACATTCTGCTGAATTTATGCTACAATCCATCTAAGGCCAATGTAATTTCCTGAGTTACAATGCTTTGGATTGTGCATAGTATTCCCTATATGATCTAACCTGAATTTTGTAAAGCTGTAGGAAAATTTCTTTCCCTTTATAGTCTGACTCGTAACTGTAAAGACGATCATTCCATTAGCCTTTCTAATTGTTTTGTTGTATCTTTGGAATTTCTCTTTCATCAACCATAGCCATGAGCCTCAAATGTAACCTGTTCACTTCTAACCCAACTGAGAATGGTTAATCCAGTTATGTTGGGATCGGGTACGTCAGGTATTTCTGGTGTGTAGGACTCACTTCCCCATCATAAGAGTTTGAATCAACCAATTTGTCAGAGTAGAAGTATTACAGCTAACTGCACTTGTCCAATGGTGGGTTTTAAACTACCATGGTGAGAGTGCTCCTTTATAAATAGTTATAACCAACATCCAGCTCAAAAAGCATCAGTACAAATCCCTCGTGCACTTACAGAATGACGCATACAATGTTTTACATTACAGAGGAATGCTCTCTCTACACAGTAAATGGTGGACTAATCACATTAAACTCAGCAAATAAGGAGGGCTATCACTTGGCTTTAAGGATGTTCATTTGTGAAATAAATAACTGGCAAATAGTGATAAACTACAAGATTTGAAATGAGGTGTTCATACCAAGATTGTATAAATTTAGGTTCATGTAAATAGGATGCAGTTTGGACTGATCTACGTATGTACCTAAGCCCCACAAAAATTGTAATATATTCAAAAAGTGTAGTAATACTCAGAGCAATTTATTTTTTATGAATATACTGAGCGATTCCTTTCAAACTCTTACATGTGCGTTTGTATTGGCAGGAAAAACCATTCGAATGGACAGGAGTCGCTAAAGAGGCAGGGATCAATATCCAAGAGCCCAGTTCTTACACCTCAAGCTATCAAACACATTTGGGTCCGTACAGCCTTGTTTGAGAAGGTCTTGGATAAAATTGTTCAATACATTGTTGATAACTCTAGGTAAGATTCTAATGGGCAGTGGGCAGATGTCCAATATATTTGTTCATCTCAGACTGACCATCACTTAGAGCTGGTGCAGAAAAATTGGTCCCTGAAACAGCGTTAATATGGGAACAGGAGGAGGCCACAGGAATATTTTTCCACCTTACAACTGGATCATCCCTGATCTGTGCCTCAGTCATAGTTATCCACCTTTGACTCATTTAAAACTGTTTGAATCTTTTCCAAACCTCACTATACATAAGATTTGATGATTAAATTTGATTAGACACAAATGGAATTGAGATTAGTCTCAAATTTTCATGAGAATTGAGCTTGGTTTTCTTTGCTTCAGCCAGCTAAAGTTTAATTAAGTGTTAACTGATTTTTGCAAACACAATATTCCTGATCCACCAGATTAAATTGCTACCTGACTTCGATTATCCATGCAAAGTCTTACATTTAGCTTCAGATTAAAAGGTCAAGTGCATTGGAAGTAGACAGAGTTGCGATGTCAGCATTTAATTTCAACGATATGTTGCTTCCAGGATAGTCTACACCAACCTTCTGAAGAACATCCCAACCAGACCCACTCTCACCCTGTCCCTGTAACCCCACATTTCCCATGGCTAACCCACATAGCCTGCACGTCCCTGGATACTATGGGCAATTTTACCACGGCTAATCCACCTAAGCTGCACATCTTTGGACTACGGAAGGAAACCAGAGCACCTGGAGAAATACACACAGGCACGGGAGGACATCCAAACCTCACACAGACAGTCACCCAAGGCTGGGATTGAACCTGGGTCCCTGATGCTGTGAGGCCATGTGGCACTTTTCCACCGTGCCATCCTTATTTTGATATGCTGAAGTCATAATCTATACGGTAGAAAGAAAAGATGCAGTCTCCAAGTATCCAGGGAAACCTTTCATTCTCTAATCAAGGTTCCACGTTCGTCCATGTTGAATCATCACCAAATTATTGCATTTTTTTGAGGGTTTTAAAGACAAAAGAATTTAGAGTTAATTAAAACAAAAAAACATTTTCTGAAGGCTTTTTTTTACATTAAACTTGCCAGGGGTTAACTGGATTGGAATGAATCGAGGTATTTAAATGTCAGAAATATGAATATAATGTTTCTTGGTTTATAAGTGTGTAAAGTGCTTTTTGAGTTTGTAGATCAGTGTTGGGCCTCTTTACCTGTGTTAGGTGAAAACCTATTTTTTTTTTGTGTTTTTGGTTTTTCGAGATGGGTACTCCACACCTTTCACCACCTCTGGTAAGCCTACAGGTGGGTCCTAAGAGTGGCATGACCTGTATGCACATTGATATTCCCTGCCTCCCTTTGGAAAAACCTTGTGTTTCTCTTGATGCCTCCCTACAAAAGTGCAGATAAGATCAGGAAGCCAGTATGTGGATAGTCCTGGACATTCCTTCCTATACCCCACCTTGACCCTCAAAAATTCTTAGGAACACAAGCACAAATTGAGGGGGGAAAAAAAGTGAAATTTGGCTTTCTTGTGATTCTGTTCTGATGAGTCAAATATCTTTTTCTTTCAGTAATACTTACCTATCTACAAGAGGTAAAGGTAAAGTTGCTATAGTCCCAGAGGATCAAAGGGCTGCTCTGTCATAGAGAGAGATGCCTGGTTTAACCTGAGAGTCACCACACCTCAGGCAAGGGACAAGGTTGAGAAGGTGGGACCTTGACGGTGACCTCTACACTATTTCATGTCAGACAAGGCGGCGTAACTCTAGCCTAGTTCCCAGTCAGTTCTTGCAGAATTTTTTACCATCTCTATCTCATCCCACCAGATTTCTTCTCTTTTTTTAATCTCTCTCCCTTTTCCAAAATGATGCAAGAAAGGTCATTTATCCCATGGAAACATTTTTGTAAAGATTATTAGTCCAGTTGTGACACAATGCACAATCATCATTGTGGGGAGGCAATGGCCTAGTGGTATTATCGCTGGACTATTAATCCAGAGACCCAGATAATGTTGTGGGGACCCGGGTTCGAATCCTGCCATGGCAGATGGTGGAATTTGAATTCAATAAGTATTTGGAACTAAGACTGTTATGATAACTGTGAATCTATTGTTGATTGTCAGGAAAAATCCATTTGGTTCACTAATGTCCTTTAGGGAAGGAAACTGCCATCCTTACCTGGCCTACATTTGACTCCAGACCTACAGCAATATGGTTGACTCTCAACTGCCCTCTGGGCAATTAGAGATGGGCAATAAATGCTGCCTAGCCAGCGATGCCCTTATTCCGTGAGTGAATAAAGAAAAAAAAATGCCGCATAGAATTTCTTTTGTGTCTGAAGGTTGAGAATAATCAAATTATGTGCTAATAACCTGCAGTCATTTTGATGTTATTTGCTTCTTTTGTGCCTATCTTGGGTCTACTCCTTCCCACTGTGTCCCACATCATTAGGCTAGCCAGCTGAGCTGCTCCAATTACTTACCAATGCTGGTGGTACCAGCCTTGGGAAGATGGATCAAACTATTTGGATTAGTTGCCCAAGGATGTGCCTAGTCTCTCTCTCTCCGCTACTCAGCTGGATCTCATGTGGAAGACATGGCTGGAGGTCATTGCCAAGTCAAGAAACTCACTGAACACTGCCTATTTGGGAACGAGGAACCCATCCCATAAAGACGTCTCCACTTGTATAAACAGAAAGAAACTCGCCAATCTTGTGACAAACAGAAAAAGATCACTGGTGAAATTTTCAGTAGAATCCTTCCGAACCATGTAATGCAACATCTTGACCAGGATCTGCTGCCATGGAGTCGATGTGCTTTCAGAAGAGACCAAGAAATCATTGACATGAAGCATGTTTGTTAACCTGACCAAGACCTTTGACACAGTCGGTTGTGGGAACCTTTGGAAAGTAATGGAGAAACTCAGCTGCCCTGAGAATTCATCACAACGATTGACAGTTTCATGACACCATGCCAATGTTCCTAGACGATAGTCCGTCTTCTGATTCATTTCCCTTCAACAATGGAGTTAAACAGGACTACATGCTGGCACCAATCCTCTTCATGTATTTCTTCATCAATGCCTTCTGTGGTGGTGATCCTGACATCCAAATCAAGTTTTGCTGCCCAATCCAAAGGGTTCCAGGAAAAATCTAACATCTCCAAAGACATACTTCAGAATTTCCTGTTTACCAATTTCTGTCCGTATCTTCTGATTCAGATTTGGACATGCAATGTGGCAGGACCTGTTGTTTCATCCACGGAGAACATTGATGTTATGAAGCTTAAAGAAAACTGAAATACTGTAGCAGTTGTTCCAGGAATGCCCCACATGAAACCCCACGTTTCCAGTTGGTGACCAGAACCTGTCAACAGTAGATATGTTCACTTAACTTGGCAGCCAACTCGCTCAAGAAGCTTACATTGATGATGAGATATGTAGAAGAATTGTCAAAATGATTGTAGCCTTCAGAATTTTAACATTGGTTTGAGGGTTGAAGAGGAGGAGATCTGCCTACCAAACTAAATGATTTGAGTGCAACAATTCTATCCACTCTGCTGTACACATCAGGTTTGGACAGTGTACCAGCAGCTTGCTAAGAAGCCCAATCATTTTGAATTGACCTACTTCTGGAAGCTTCTGAAGATCAGGTGGTAGGACAGCCACTGAGGTGTTTACCCGAGCTGGTATGCCAAGCACCCACACCATACTGAGACTGTCACAAGTGAATTGTAGTCAGTGTGCCTGACACATGCTAGAGTGAAAACCAGAGTGAAACTTCTGTGGAGTGTTTGAAACTGAGGGACACTCTCGTGGAAGGTAAAAGAAGCTCTACAACAATGCAAAAGACTTCACATGAGAATTTTAATATTGATTCTAATTCCTGGGCGAATCTCACTCAGGATTGGCTGTACCTGGAACAGCCAACTAAAAAAATACATTACACCTGTCTCATAAGCAAGCGCACTAGAGACAGAGAGAGACAATGCAATGAGAGAGAATCCTGAGACAGCAACTCATCCAATACCAAATGGCTGTGGTATTCTATCCTATTTGCAGTAGAACCTGCCCAGCCTCACCAAATCACCTGTGTATCTAATGGAACCCTGTCAAACACCTCGGGTAATGAATATAGGCATCTTTACCTTGAGCAACAAACAAGAAGCTGAGATTGAATTTGAAACCACAGATCTACATCCTCGATGTCATGAACCAATGCACCATTAAAGTTAATGATGCAGAGATTTGGATTTCAATGTGTGGTCAGCCATTCATTTCCATCTATGTTGTTATGCTTCACCTCATTTACTTGTATGTTTTTGAACGTTTTGGCGTAGAATTTCTATTGCATTTTCTTTGTTGCATAGTGCACACAAAGCCTGTGTCAGAGATGATATACTAGGTAGGAGACTCCATAATTGACAAGGGGGCCTATATAAGAATGGCATTGAGCCAGTTGCTTACACTAATTGCACCCTTGTGTCTGTTTCATGGGACTGTTTGAAAAATTTGTTGACAGTTGTCAAACCAGCCCTCCTTAAGTACACTGCCCCTCCCCCCAACCCCCGTCCCCGAGGTCATGATGCCAAAGGTAAGTTCAAGCGTTTTTATTTAATTGAATATTGAGCCAAGAGGAGCACTCTTCAGCTCTCACTCTGAGCAGCTTGACTGACATCCCAGTCAAATCGCTTCACTCTTTACCCTCTGCAGCCAGTGAACTGTCTCCAGTACAATGACATATGCATGTAGCTTGCCAGTTCCATTTGGTATTGCCATTTGGTATGATCTTCCCATGAGCAACTGATGATGCCAGCAATGTCTGCTGCATTGGGACTGGGGTCTCCAGCTCATTTCTAGGCCTTTCTCTCTTGAATGCAGCACTGCTTGAATTTCTCAGATATAAATACTTTTAATATCATTCTATTCCTTTCAGCAAATACTATGAAAAACAAGCTCTAATGTCTGATCCAGTCTGTGGACCGATTCTAGCTTCTCTGCTCGGTAAGCATTCTGAATTAATGTTCTAATCATTATCAAACATGAAAAACGGGGGCAACACAGTGTGGAGCTGGAGGAACACAGCAGTCCAGGCAGCATCAGAGGAGCAGGAAAGTTGACGTTTTGGATCGGGACCCTTCTTCAGAAATGGGGAGGGGGAAGGGAGCTCAGAAATAAATAGAGAGGGGAGGGGTGGGGATGGGGAAGGTAGGTGGGATGGTGATAGGTGAGTGCAGGTGGGGATTGGTCAGTGGGGTGGGTGGGAGGCGGATAGGTGGGAGAGAAGATGGACAGATTGTGTCAGGTCAAGGAGGTGGGGAGGAGAGGGAGGGTTGGTTATGGGATGAGGCCGGGGATGAGGCGATTTTAAAACTGGTGAATTCCATGTTTAGGCCATCGGGCTGTAGGCTCCTGAGGTGGAATATGAGGTGTTGCTCCTCCAATTTGTGGGTGGTGTCATTGTGACACTGGAGGAGGCCCAGGATGGACATGTCACCCAGGGAGTGGGAGCGGGAGTTAAAATAGTTGGCAATCGGAAGGTGTTGTCGTTTGTCGTGTACAGGGCGCAGATGCTCTACAAAACGGTCTCTGAGTCTACGCTTGGCCTCACCGATGTAGAGGATGCCACATTGGGAGCAGCAGATACAGTAGACCAAGTTGACAGATGTACAGGTGAACCCCTGTCTGATATGGAAGGTTTGTTTTGGGCCTTGAAAGGAGGTGAGGGGCAAGGTGTAGGGTAGGTGTAACACTTCCTGCGGTTGCAGGGAAAGGTGCCGGGCGTGGTGGGGCTAGTGGGGAGTGTGGAGCAGAAGAGGGAGTCGCGGAGAGAGCGGTCCCTACGAAAGGCAGATAGGGGTGGGGAGGGAAATATATCTTCGGTTGTGGGGTCGAATTGTAGGTGATGGAGAATGATACGTTGGATGTGGAGGTTGGTGGGGTGATATGTGAGGACAAGGGGGATTCTGTCTTTGTTTTTGTTGCGAGGAGGGGTGTGAGGGCAGAGGTGCAGGAAATGCAAGAGATGCAGTTGAGGGCATTTTCGATCACCAGAGAGGGGGAAAGTTACAGTCCTTGAAATAGGAGGACATCTGGGATGTGCGGGAGTGGAATGCCCCATCTTGGGACCAAATTCAGCAGAAGGCAGAGGAATTGGGACTGGGGGATCACATTTTTGCAGAAGGATGGGTGGCAGGAGGTGTAGTCCAGGTAGCTGTGGGAGTCAGTGGGCTTGAAATAGATGTCAGTTTCGAGGCGGTCACCAGAGATGGAGACAGAGAGGTCCAGGAAGGAGAGGGAGGTATCAGAGATGGTCCAGGTGAATTTGAGGTTGGAAAGGTGTTGGTAAAGTTGATGAACTGTTTAAGCTCCTCGTGGGCGCATAAGGCAGTGCCAATACAGTCATCAATGTAGCGGAGGAAGAGGTGGGGGATAGTGCCAGTGGAAAAGGGATTGTTCCACATATACTACAAAGAGGCAGGCATAGCTTGGGCCCATGTGGGTGCCTATGGCCACCCCCTTAGGGTGTCTGTAGGAAGTGGGAGGGATTAGAGGAGAAGTTGTTAAGGGTAAGGCCGAGTTCTGTTAAGCGGATGAAGGTGTCGGTGGAGGGGGACTAGTTGGGCCTGCGGGAGAGGAGTCAGCGGAGGGCTTTTAGGCCATTTGTGTGGGCGATACAAGTGTAGAGGGATTGGATGCCCATAGTGAAGATGAGGTGTTGGGGATCAGGGAATTGTAAGTCTTTGAGGAGGTGAATGGGTGGTGTCCCAAATGTAGTTGGGGAGTTCCTGGACCAGGGGTGACAAAACAGAGTCAAGGTAAGTGGAGAAAAGTTCAGTGGGGCAGGAGCAGGCAGAGACAATGGGTCAGCCAGAGCAGTCAAGTTTGTGGAGTTTGGGAAGGAGATAGAAATGGGCGGTGCAGGGTTGGGGAACGATGAGGTTGGAGTTTGTGGGTGGGACGTCACCTGAGGTGATGACATTATGAATGGTTTGAGAGATGATGGTTTGGTGGTCAGGAAAACGGGGAAGTGTTTTTATTTTGTAAGCTGGAAATCTGTGTGTAATTTAAAAATTCCTACCAGCTGCTTCATCAGACACCCAATAAAGCGGTTCTCTCACTCTGTGGTAACTGAGCCATGCTGAATGGGAAAATTTGGAACAGTTTAGCTGGTCTCTGGTTTGAAGGTTTCGGTTAGTGTTTAGGTGCTACAATTTGCTTCACTGCCGTAGGGTTTTAGGGGTATGCATTGGTGTTTAGGGGCTACAATTGGATTCATTGTCCTAGGGTTTTGGGGGTGTGGATTAGTGGATTAAGTGTTACAAATGCCTTCACAGTTCTAGCTGTGACAGTGGTAAGACAAAGAAATTAGCCAGGGTACATGTTCTTAATGTGGTCATTTGCACTGGAAAGTGTCCATCTGCTCATCGCACTTGATGATCAAAAAGCTTAATATCTCAAGTGAAGAACAGTCAAGGTACTTATAGATGTTTTCGAAACAACTTGAAACTGGAGAAGGCAAGTTGTAGTTTCCTTACAATTGTCTGCCTCAGACCAATAATTCTTTAATGACCAACCTCGATCTTCCCGACAGTGCATTTACTGAATAATCTCACTTAGCCATTGAAAAATAAGCTGTTTTAAATGAACCTATCTGTGCTAACAGCTCATGTGCTCCAAAGGGAACAGAATAAAATTCAGAAAGTGCTACAGGAATTCAGCAGGCTGCAACTAGGGAGAGACAAACAGAGTTAATGTTTCAAGTCCAATATGACTTGTTTCAAAACATGGATAGTATTTTCAGGTTTCCATATGATGACTTAACTCACTGCCAGCAACCTGTATGTTTCAGCAGTTTTTTTGTGAAAAAGCTGCAGCTCATGAACCCTGATGATGGGAGTGAGCTTATAAATGTCAGTTACACAAGTCAGTCACTGTAGAGGAGATGACCTGCTGCTGAATTCTGTGTATCTAGTGGAGAAGCAGCACTTTGCTTGGGAGTGTGATGTACAGCTAGTGATTGTTCGTTAGTCTCGCCTATTAGTGAATCATTGTGTGTATAACTTAATTTATTTCACTATTGGAGACATTTTCATTTTTAAGCTTTCTTTTCTCCCATGGTATTTCTCAACCAGGACCAATCCCAGACCTTTTTTGATGCCAATCTTCCAATATCCCAACACCTTGAAACTTGTATTGTAGGAGCATGAATGGAAATTTATAATGCGGTGTGTTGAGTGAGACCCAAACCAGCCTGGAGCAGGTCTGGGAAACGCAGAGATAAGCATAATTTCCTTGGGACAGAATTAAAGCTTTAAGCAAATGTGCCAAATGCCATACTTTATAGTAATGCAATTTATATTTGCGTTCTGATTATAATGTGACCTTGTTCTGCCTCAGCGAAAAAGAAAATTGATTTAATTTTCTGCTTCATGTTACAGTTGGTCCCTGTGCATTAGAGTACACAAAACTTAAAACTGCTGACCATTACTGGACTGATCCATCAGCAGATGAACTGGTGCAAAGACATCGTATTCATGGAGCCCATGGACACCAGGATTCCCCATCTAAACGTCCTGCACTTGGTGTAAGAGTCAACATGATCTGAAATCTCTTTAACGGTTAATTTGTTATATTAGTGGGACCACGGCCAGTTTAATCCATAAAATATTATAGACTTTGAAATCAGCATTACTTTACTACTTATTCAAGATAGAGGGTCATAGAGTCATAGTCAAGTTACAGTGAACTGTTTTTTTATTTTTCATTTATCTTTCCCTCTGTGGATTAAATGATGTCAGTTGAGCAAACTAATCCCATGTATATGAGAAAGATCAATTCTGAGGATCATTGGCAAAGTGCAGCCTAAACAAGTAAATGAAAAGTGCTGAAGAGCTTTCCAGACACATGCAAGATAGTTAAGAGGATAGGGAAGGCAAAGGCAAACTGTACTTTTGGATATGCCAGAGCAAAATGGTGCTGATCTCTTCTTCAGTTATGAGACCCGAGTGTTGGGCAAAGCCAACATTTTTTGCCTATCCACTTGAAATAGTAGTGAGTCATTACCCTTGATCTCTGGTACCCCAAGGCCCAATTCTTGGTCCCCTCCTATTTGTCATCTACAGTCTACCCCTCAGCATCATCATCTGAAAGCACAGCATTAGGTTTTACATCAATGCTGATCACTACTTCTCATGACTCCGCCACTGTTACTAAATTATCAGGCTCCTTGTCGGACATCCAGTGCTGGATAAACAGAAACTTCTTCCATTTAAGTAGTGGGATGCAGGAAGGCATTGCTTTCCATCCCCATTCCAAACCCTTTCCTAGCCAGTAACTGCATCTCTCTCCCCAAAGAGAACTGTTTTCAACTTTGTCACAAATTCCTTAATGGTCAAACCTCTCCCTAACTTTGTAATTCCCCTCAGCTCCGCAGCACTCAAAATATGTGTGCCACCCTCATTCTGGCCTCTTAAACATTCCCAGTTTTAATCCACCATTGGAGGTCTTGCCTTCAGTGACCCAGGAACAGTTTTGTCTCAGTTCTATCCTTCATAGACATTCCTTAAAATCTAACTTTTTCTGACCAATCTTTCGGTCTTCTGGATTATTACTTCCATTAATGGCTTAGTATTGTTGTTGGTAAACTCACTACAAGCTACCTTTAATTCAGCCACTTATTGAGAAATCTCACAGCCAATCAAATATTGAAACAATAATTCAAACTTTGCACGTAGCAACCAAATATATGACCCCTCAAGTAAGCAAATATAAGCTTGCAACCAAACTTAGCTATTGCCCAATTAATGGTGAAATCTGGCCAGGATTTCAACCAACAGTGTCTGTCTCTGGAAGTTTCCAGAGTTCGGTCCTTCTACAACGTTGTTCCTCAAAGTTCTGCTCTTGAGTTATTCTGGTATTTGATTTTTATACAGATTTTCATTCTTCGGTCTTTGAGGTGATCTATTGATAATTTCTTTAGAATCCTTTCTTTCAAGTTAGTGCAGGTCTGCAGCTGGCTTCCTTATCAAAAGCAGTGTTTTTGTTCCTTGTTATGTTTGGCCTCAAGTGTCTGTTCGAATGCACAGCTTTTCTGTAATTAACTCCTTAAATTTGTCTGCCAGGCAATCAGCTGTCCTTGTGGCATAAAGCACCCAGTTTATCAAGGAGGTGTCAAAGCAGTTTTATCTATGTAGCCTCCACTCCCAGACATGGCTAATTGTTTTCAATTCCTGTACAAGTTTGTCCTTGTCCTTTAATAGCTTATTCTAGACAGAATTATTGCTGATTTTTTCGAGTGTTACAGTTTATCTTTGTTGATTCATTCAATCCATTGTAGTTACCAATTGAATTTGATATATTTGGTCATCAGGTAAGGATCGGTCTCCATTGAGATTAGCCTTACAGCCAAATAAGCTTTGCTGATCCTTGAGTTCAAGCGTCACAAATGCCTAATCCCCACATGGATGAAGTAACAGGTTGGGTTGATGGATGAATGGAGCAGTTCATGTTTGGTTCAGCTGTTAATAAGTTGGTGAACTTTCTCTTGCAGATAAGAAAGCGTCACTCCAGCGGAAGTATGTCAGAAGATAAATTTGCAGCTTCAGCGAGAGAATATGTGGAGTCATTACATCAAAATTCCAGAACGCATTTGCTGTATGGAAAAAATAATGTACTTGTCCAGCCAGTAAGTAGTGCATAGCAAGAAACATCTGACTTCTTGATGGTGGGGTGAAAAAAACAGCTGGATAGTGCTGCTCATGCTGCTTAATATCATAACCTTTTAATGATTGCAGTGGGATCTTTTTAAGAGAGCAATTGAAAAAAGGACAGGAAAATGCAGCAGAAATTTCCAGTAGACATCAAGTGAGTTTACAAGAAATATAGGGATTTCCTTTCTATTCTCTTTTCCTCCTCAAGCTTTTCATCAGCACAAACTTTTATCCTGTTTCATCCACCATATCATGTAGAAATGGAGTCAAGCCCAACCTGGCAGTTTTAATCATATACCAGCCATGGCACAGTCGGTAGCTCACCTCTTGGAAGATAGTTGGGTCAATCCCACTTCAGGATTGAGTACCAAAAGAAATAGAGGTTGATACTCCATCACAGTGTTAATGAAAGTGCAGCACTACCAGCGGTGCCATCTTTTGAGAAGAAGTTAAAGCAAGGCCTCATCTGTCTTTTTGGGTGATTGTGAAAGATTGTGAAGAAGAGTGTGTTCTGCCTGGTGTCCTGGCTAATATTTATCTTTTAATGGGCATCCACAAAAACAGATTGTTTAATCATTTTCACTTTGCCGTTTGTGGGCTCTTCCTGTATATAAATTGACTGTCTTGTCTGCAGTGACTATGTTTCAAAAGTACCTTGGTGTCTGTAAAGTGGGTTTTCACCACCAGTAGACACATAGAAAATAGGACAAAGAGTAGGTCTTTCAGCTCTCCAAGCCAGCTCTATTATTCAATATGATCAATTTTCCAACTCAGTTTCCTGTTCCTGCTTTTGTCCCATATACATCAATCCTTTTAGCCCAAAGAAATATTTCTAACTCCTCCTTAAAAACAGTTGTGAAAGTATTTGTGAAACTTGCTATAAAGGAACTCTCTCTCTTTCGCCATGGTCATTATTTCCAGTTGTGGACCACAAAGTTGCTGGATTTATCAAATAAAGTTTTACTACTTGCCGTGGTGGGATTTAAACACTCGGCTTTTGGACTGTTGCCTCAGCACCACTGTCACTTGGCTACTGTTCTGAAGAAGGGTCACTGGACCTGAAGCATTAATTCTGCTTTCTCTCCACAGATGTGTTTCTCCAGCATTTTCTGTTTTTGCACTTGGCTGCTTGCCCATGCCCTTATAACATAGCAAAAAGAGGAATTCTATGCACATACGTTAGCCAATGCCCATCATGTCTGAAATGAAATGAATTCACTCCCCCTAATGTAGTAATTAGATCCAATACTGTCAGAGGATCCTGCTGAATTCAACCGTCCTAATGAAATGAGTAGCATTGTATTACAAACTCGAGAGTTTTGGACCCCAGTCATTACAACTCCTATCTGCATTAGCTATGATTGGTTTGCAAAGTTTGACCAGAGTTCTGCAAATGGACTCCAACAGATTATGCCAGCTATAGCCCCTATCAGGAAGGAAAGGAAATGGTCTTGTCAGTGCAGCATGAATTGGAATTTTAATAAACCTTTTTAAAAAAAAATTTAACAATAAGTTGTCCATATCTATTGAGCAAAATTGTCTTGAGACCTGACATCTGATCTATTTTAATTTGTTTTCCACCGACAGACATTTTTTATTTTTAACAAATCAAAACTCCGCTAAGTAAGCTGTAGCACAATCAATAGCAAGGATTACCAGTCAATCAGAAAGAATGAAACAAGTGATTTGATGTAAACAACACTCAATCACTGCTTATGCATTAACATGTCCGATCAGCAGGAGCCACTTGCTAAATTGACTTGGAATAATGTACTTTCCAACACCCTCACAATTTTTCTCATCTCTTTGCTTGAAGCTCTTAACTGCCTGCTGGGGCGTCAGTCAGACAGCCATCCCCTCTCATCACATCCAGATATGCATGTTCCATCTTACAACCTGGATGTTTATTGTTAACGTCATGTTTGATGGTGTGAGCGGAACTTGTGTGCAGTGCTCAAGTACAGACTTCCCAGCAGGTCATTGGATGATGAACTAGGTTTCTACCTTTGCCCACCTTCATGATAATTGATAATCTTACTGAATGATAGAGCAGACTCAAGGGGATGAACCACACTCGAGAAGCTTCACAACATCCGGCACAAAGTAGCACATTCGATTATCGCTGCAACCACAGATATTACTCTATCCAACACCAGCATTTCAGCAGCAGCGTTGTGTACCATCTACAAGATCATAGATCATAGAATCCCTACAGTGTGGAAACAGGCCCTTCGGCCCAACAAGTCCACACTGAACCTCAGAGCATCCCACCCAGACCCATCCCCCTGTAACCCACCTAATCCACACATCCCTGAAAGCCATGGGTAATTTAGCATGGCCAATTTACCTAACCTGCACGTCTTTGGATGCGCTGCAGAAATTCACCAAGGCTCCTTAAATAGCACCTTCCAAACCCACAACCGCTATCACTTAGGAGGACAAGGGCAGCAGATACATGGGAACACAACCACCTGCAAGTTCTCCTCAAAGCCACTTCCCATCATAACTTGGAAACAACTTGGAAACACTGTCACTGGACCAAAATCCTGGAACTCTATCCCTTATGGCATTGTGGATTGCATGCAATACAGCAGTTCATGAAGGCAGCTCAGCATCACCTTCTGAAGGGCAACTAGGGATGTGTAATAAATGCTGGCCCAGCCAGAAACGCCCACATCCCATGAATGAATAAAAGAAAGATAGAGACTTACTTCTGTTCCTAAATTTGTATGTTCTTTATCCTCACTAACACTAACAATGGTCAGCATCAAAAGCCTAACATCATCATCCAAAAACAATGACTAAAAAATGATACAATATGGCGCAGTCGGAAATTCAGACTACTTTTTTAAGCTGTGCCATGCCTTTGAGGAGATTTTGTTTCAATGTAGTCTATCTGAACAAACCAGTGTAGATTTGGAAGTATTGTTGATGTTTTAAACCTTGATATAGGGGAGATAATTAATTCCTTTGACATATTCTGAGTCAAGACAAAATGCTGGATTAGTTTACAAAATGAAGTCTGAACTCGATCCGAATCTGAGCAGATTATGCATCTCTTTAATTTGGCAGAATTTTTATAAATGTTAAGATCTCTTCCTTCCTTGCTGTTTCTGTATTTAGCAGAAAGGGGATTGTATGTGCTGGTAAGGGGGAATGCTTTTCCAGTCCTACCCCTTTTATATTGGAATCAAGCCTATACAGGTCAGATGTACTAGAGCCAGATTCACAGGAAATGTCCCTCTGCCATGGCCTCACCACCAGGGTGTTGCTCCACCTGGTGGTTGGGTTGAGAATGGACAACAGAAAGGAAGATAGTCTCAGAGATAGTCGGAACTGCAGATGCTGGAGAATCTGAGACAA